GCTCTTAATATACAAATGTATCAAAACAAATTAGGGGCCCTAGTTTACAAACAGGATTGGAAGGAAAGGGGATATCATATAGGGCTGATGGTGGTTATTCTAGAATAGCTTTGTTGGGGCGGGGGGAGCTTGTTGCTTAAGTGGAACATAAGTGGGAAGCAACAAACTGACGTGGCTCTCAGGGAGGTAGTTTGATGCTTTGAGAGCCTGATCTTGCAAACGCTTGTGCGTGTAAGTAACTTTACACAGTGAATTCCACTGAAGTGAGACTACTCACACCTGTAAAATTACTCATGTTTCCAAGACTGGAGGATTAATGTGCTAAGAGACAAGTACTGCAAGAAAAAAAAAACATTGCAATTGTTACCCATGCTGGATCAGACTTAATTTAAGAGTGACACAAAGAAATACTGGTTTTGTTTAACAAAAAAACCAAAAAACCCCCAAAACCCCCGCACAATGCAGAATTGACTTGTGGAACTTACCACCACAAGTTATCATTGAGGATAATTATTTAGTAGGCTCCAATAAGGTGTCTAAGCGCTACTGCAATATGAATACTAAAACAAAGATAATGAGGAATTAGATATTTAGATGAGTTATAAGAATATAATCCTGTCAAACCAGCTAGGATAAAAATGTGTAAATGACATCAGCTCTCATGATTTAGGACATAAACCAGCTGTTTACAGCCCAGGGTTGGGAAGACACTTGTTCCATAAGAATGCTATTATTTAGTTGCCCACTGTTAGGGTTTTATAAACGACTGGACTAAATGGACCATTGTTCTAATCTGCTCTGACAATTCCTTTCTTTCTATGTAGGTCTGATCTTTATTCCCCTGACAACATCGAGCACTGAAAAACGATTCCTGTTGCAAATCTGGGGCCTCATCCAAAGCCTACTGCAGTCAGTGAGAGCCTTCCCATTGACTTTAGTGGGCTTGGGATCAGGCCCCAAATCAGGAACATGGCACTCAAAACAATAGGCGCCCTGATCACAAAGCCACTCGTAGCTTAAAAAGAAGGGAAATGCCCACAGCAAATTAACTTTCAGGAGGTTTTCCCCAGGCATGTGGCTTTTGGTATAAATGAGGTAAAACAGCATTCAGTTTTATTTCTTTTTCTTCCAACCACTCCAGAAGTTTCTAGTTCATTTATGGAATGAAGTTGAGCCCTCCAGCACCCAAGATGTTACACCACTTCCCGGGGATATTTTCTAAACACCGGGTAGCCTTGGGGGGAAAGCCTCCACTTTATATTTCCAACAGAATTCAAACCCAACAGGGGTTGGATTTTTAATTGAAATTCCCATCTGTCACCTCCACCAGGAGGAAATTGTTCTTTTCCTAACTTGGCTTTTATGCACATGTGAAAGGGTTCTGATCAGATGAAATACAGAACCTCACCCATCATTAATCTGGTCCATTCAAAGTCAAAGACAATTGTAAAATAATGCCTACGTGCTACATGCAGAATAACGCATGCATCAAACCCACTGTGAACATTCTGCATTGCATTGTCCCCACTCCTGCCTGCCAGGCTGGGGCCCTGCTCCTGAGGCACAGTTTACCTATTGTGCATGTCACAAACCCCTCTGGGGCTGTACATAAGAGCTGACATCACAGGGACAGAATACAACAACTCTCCAGAGCAGGGACTGAGCTTTGGTAGTTATATGGCCCCCCATTACTGTAATATCCGAACACCCTCGCGGGCGTTAGTGTATTTACCTTCACAATACCCCCATGAGGCAGGGCAAGGTTGTTATCCCCATTGTACAGATGGAAAACGGAGGCACTGGGAGGTTAAGTGACTCATCCAAGGTCACACAGGAAGTCAAGCTGAGCCAGGAACTGAACCCAGATCATCTTTTGAGTCCCAGGCTAGTGCCCCTAACCAATGGACCATACGTCCTTTTATCCTCTGTTTGTTAGCACAGTCAAGACCTATTATTCTTATTGATGCCTCCAAGGCTATTATTATTGTTTATTTGTATGCATGTTGCACCAAGACCACACAGAGGATTTTGGGGACCTAGGGCAACATCTGAAACTGAGGGCTCCCCCCCTTTCCAAAATGACTGCTATGGAAACGAATACTCCCCCCTGAAATCAAGAAACCAAGGGGGCAAAACCAATGAGAGGGGAGGCCTGGGGAAAGGGGGGCACTGGGGAGTAAGCACGCTCTGTATTCACTCTGCAGTGGCACCTCCTGTCCTTGCAGGGCTGGGCATTGCAACCTGATGCACGGGATCGCAGCGCAACTCAGGTTTGGCCAGGCTGCCCTTCCCTCAAATTCAATTTGGGGGCCCTGGGGCAAACTGCTCCTTTTGTCCTCCATCCCTTGCCGGGCAGCCCTGGGTTGCACCAATGAGGTCCCAACCGGAACTGGGACCCCATTGAACTAGGTACTGTATGGACACCTAGGCCAGGTCTACACTATGTACTTACTTTGGTAGAACTACGTCGCTCAGGAGTGTGGGAGGGGAAACAGAGGCACAGGGAAAGTCAAGGAACTTGCCTAAGGGCACACAGCAGGTCAGTTGCAGAGCTGTGGATACAACCCAGGGCTGAAAAGCTGCCCCAATGAAGCCAAGGGGAGTTTTGCCATTGACTTCACTGGTATCAGGATTTCACCCCAGATCTTCTGAGTCCCAGCCCATTCACCTATTCGGTCGAGGGGGTTTGCTTGGCAGTAGGTGTTCTCGAACTTCCCTTGCCTTGACAAGAGAGAGAACTGATTGCTCGGATTCCTGGCAGCTCATTTGGATGAACCAATAAGAGCTTGGAAGTCTAATGTTTTGCACCGATGCCGTAAGCAACACCTAGTGCAGTAACCAGAAGGCTAGGAGGCTGCTGGGAACGGGCAGAACGCAGCCAAAATCCTCTGTGAGTGCACTTGTCCCAGCGGGTGAAAAGCATATGTTGGCTATCGGTGTCTGTGCCAGTATGAGCTGGGAGGGGAGCTCTGTGTGCATGAGAAGGAGAAAGAGAGAGAGAGAGTGTGTTCTTCTCGGCTAGGCAAGAGAAATAGGTTTCTTTTCCCATCTCCCTTTGCCCTGGGGCATTGCCGTCAGCTGTCCTCCGGCAGAATCACCCACCACCATCAATAATATGGACCACAGGGTAGTTTGTAAGTGACTCTCCTTCACTCTCTCTCTGGGTTTTCCACATTCTCAGGTGGCATTTCCTGCTGTGGGGAATATTTCAGGCTGAGAAGGAGCTGCCACCCTCTGCTCCGGTCACAACCAGGTAGCAGTTTACGGTCTGCAATGCTGAAGAACCGACTACCCAGTCTTTTTTCTCCATTACCTAGGATCAAACGTAACAACACACTTTTCTATGCAGTCAGGCCAAAGGATCTCAAAGCATTTTACACACCAACAGAAAGAGGCAATCCCAGGCTGCACATAGCAGTGAAACGCAACCGCCCGTGGGGCTGGCAGGGAGCAGCACACAGCAGCATTCTGCGGTAGTCTTGAGGAAGACGTGGAGAACCCCACACCCAACTAGAAGTGAACAGGGCATGTCAAGAGGCGGGGGGCAGTTCTCCAAGATGGAACAAGGCCCACACGCTGGGGCTGCTCTTGCAGATAGAACCCAGGGATCACAAATGATCCAAGTGAGAACAGCTTCCTAAGCGATAAAGGAGCGTTTTAAATATATGAATGCAAAGAACAAACGCCTCCCTAAAGAGAACGTTGTACAGAACAATAAGTGGATCCCGTGCCCTGAGGAGGAGACGATGCATCTGAGGAATGATGCTAAGATTTTGGATTAACAAATAAGTAACTGCGGTGGCTGCGCCTAGCAGTTTGAGCCGTGTCTTTGTATTTAATAAGGGTTTGTTAAAGGTACTGAATAGGTTCTGAACATGCCCTTCACTACAGAGGGTGTTAGAGGAATACAGACATTGGGCCAAACCCTAAAGCCTTTACTGACACAAAACTCCCATGGTCATCGGTCGGGGTTTGGCCAGG